CAGAATTAATGAACGACAAAAGAATGACCAAAACAGGTGATCTAATGGATTTAAATCCATTTTGTATTGTTTGTTTGAATCTTCTCATTGATGTTTATGACTAAAATTAATTAGTCGCTTATTGGCATATATGCAGTCTTTGCGGAGTGCCTCGATATTGCCTTAAGTCACAAGCACTATAAACAAAGATGGATGTTGGCTAGTAGTGGAATCTAGAACATTTGCGAATCGTCAATTGGTTGTACCTAAATCCGTGTTGATGTCTACTCCGAGACCCGAACCCAAAAGCGTTCGTTTCAAACACCATCACGTTATCCACTTAGCTAATGAGTCCTGATAGCCATTGGATTGTAAAATGAGATGAAGTCCCAAACATCAATGGGAAGATTCAAACAAGCGATACAAAATGAATGAACGGTACTGGGTACGAGTAACATAGTGAACATCAACTCTGAGATGCAGATATATCCAGCTGATGAGTCCCAAATAGAACGAAACGTGTGTCCTGAATTCCACTACTAGCCACTATCTATCTTTGCATCTAATGGATTTATTTTATCTTATACCACTGGGATAGTTAGCTTTCTAAAATTGAATATAACATGTGATAAAAATAACATTGGAAGCCATTTAAAATACTGTTGTTTATGAACGAAAATGTATTCATGGATTTTTAAATATTTAATTATAGTTCATATCGCTATATCATTAGATAACCGATGTAATCCCCAAAATATCAGTGAAACAATATGAGTTCATAAGGATGAATAAATTTATTATGTAGTCACAGTTTCATTATTTATTTTAATAAAAAATGAACCATGATACGATGTCAGAATCAAATTTCAAGGTCATTAACCATTGTTTCAATTATTGTCTACTAAACTAGAACGAAGCAACTGGCTATATGATATTTTCTTATTTCCAAATGATATTGGTTAGTCAAAGTTTTCTCATAAGATTTAATCTTAAACACTTGTACAGTAATCGTTTTTTGTTCCCATAATTCTAGTAATCATTTAGCTTTATTTAACTTTTATTCACTAAACTTGTCAACTACTATTATTCACAATTGATTGATCACTAGGTGATGATCAATGTTATGGGTGTCAGGTCCTTATTTAATGCAGATCGAATGCCATCGACCATGTTGCAATGTGGCCACTAGTCTAGGTGACTCGACACTGCGTGCACTATATATTGGATTCGATCTGTATTAAATAAGAACTTAACATACATGAAATTGATCACCACCCAGTGATCAATCAATTGTGATTACAGGAGGTCGGTCGCGGCCCGAATAGCACAGTGGTAACGTCTTTGACTGTGAAGCTGGGTGACACGGGATAGAATCCGTCAGGGAACATCAGTTCCCTCAAGATTACAGGTACATCTTGCTGACGAGTGCCAAGTAGCACGAAACCCGGGTCCAGGGTTTCCTGTTGACTACCTCCAACCACCATCGAACTACTATTATTACTACTACTGCTAATAATAATATCAGTAATAATGATTATAAAAATAATAACTACCCATCATTTGAACTTATTTTCAAGATCATCTTTGTAGTTCTACTCTGAATATCTAATCTTGAATAACAATCAAATGATGTATAATATTCAACCTCATTAAAAATGTACTTTCAAGTATAACAGTCGATAAAATTGTAAATGTAAACTAAAAATTCCACAACACAAAGATCCAAGTGTACTATTCGCATATCAATGATCAAAACATGAATTGAATAATCATTTAAAGTGTTAAGTACTAGAGGTAACTTTGGATTAAAGATATTATTGTTTATTTCCTTGAAAAAGCTTGGACCAGATTGTCAGGCAAAACGTTAGTGTTCACTTCAAATTCTTTCACTGAGATTTTACAAATATAACATTCTTCCTCTTTAATGTCTCATATTAACTCGGCGCCCAAATACTGTAAAACTATTTGATCAAATTTAGAAGAAAGTTCTTATTTATTTTTCTTCCTTATCATGGGAATTGAGTAAATATTTCACAAGAAAATAAATACCATTTTATAAACTATTAGGTCCTGGGTTCGAATCTCACAGAGGTGGTTTCATGAATGCGTACTGCTGAGTAGTTCTATATTTGGACGAAACAGTCATCCAATGCTTTCAGGTTTAACATGATAGTCTAACTTCAATTGATTTGTGAATTCAACTATTAGAATGACTGAAAAACATCTCCTGATAAAAAAATCATCTAAGTTTATTTTTCAAGAAAACTGTTATAATTTGTGGACCTGTGTGCCCTGTTATTGTATAACGCAACGATACCGCCAATCAGAGATCAGCAAATTATCGATCAGACCAGTGACGCATAAAACACGTGCGAGCAGGCTAAAGTCCTGATTGGTCTCGCGTTCTGTCTAGCCCAGCCAGTTAAGTCCAGAATACCAATCTCAACCATCGTCATATGAATCATGTATTTCAAACATACTGGGTTTATATACAACCAAACAGACCACATCTTACTATAAAATAGGAAATAACATTCGTACAAGATTTAGCCAAAAGTGACTGCGAATGTAGAAGACTGTAATTAATAGACTGGGTAGAACTCAAGAACAATAAATCATACAACAATAGTCTATGAATCAAAATAAAGCGTATAAAAAGAGGAACATGAATATTCATAGTCTAGTCACTTAAAAAGTATACAACAAAAACATATATATAATATTAGTCCATGAATAGATCCCAAAAATTACCATTCATTATTCTTATCGGGATATAAGACCTCCCCTTTTTGAAGATCCGGATTTTAAATTTTCCAGGTTTATGTAATGAGAAATACTGTATGGCACACAGGTTCATAAGTTATAACAAAAACAAAATAATTAGTTTATTCAAGTTAGTAGTTAAGTTTTAATAGAATGATTTACTGAAACCATATTTGATTGACTAGAAATGAATGATTGTCTTTTTTCCTTCTTCTCCTTCTTCTTCTTCCTTCATTTGGGCTCAGTTTGAATCCTGATTAGTTATATTACTATTTATCATTTTATCCATCTATCCATCTATTCATTCATTTAATCTATTCAATTATTTGAAGTACATAGACGTGTACAATACTCATCAGTCTCTATGAAGACTACACATGTCGGTAGTTATTATTATTATTATGTATAATTCATTAAGATTTCTATATTTGTCCCCCCCAAAAATAACATAAAACTTATGGTGAGTTTACACCTTAAACAAAAAAAAGGAAAAAAAAGAGAAAAAACGGGAATACACATCATCAATTAGATAAAGAAAAATCCAAGAAAGAAATCTAAAAAAGAATATTGACATATTTTTCTAGTCACATTAGGTAACTGTCAAGGAAATAAAATTTTTAACAGTGAATTAATAAGAGAACATGTCAAAATTTGTTAAATTACTTAGATATAATGTCAGCTGTCTATTTCTTTTCTTTTTTTTTTATAATTTAGCATTCTTTTTGGCATCTTTTAAGAAAACACTCATATCACACACACACACACACAGAGGTACACTAGTGTATGTGTGTGTGTGTGTTCAACATACAATTTGAATATATTTAGTCTAACGTTTACTGATTCTTTCAACGTAGTAAAAGAAATATCTGATGGAATCTTAGACTTGATGCTGTGTTTAACTAACTAACTAACTGAATGAATGAATGTATGACTGAATAACTCTTTTGAAGACATGTATATGTCAAAGTTCTTTTATATTTTTAAATGATCCATTTGTAGATTTTCTATTTCATGCTAAAATGAAACGACAATAAAGAAAAGTGGAATAAGTCACGTAAAAAGAAGAAAAATAATGAAAGAAGAGAATAAGGTGATGATGCTGGTGTTGAAGCTCTTTGTGTGTGTGTATGTATGTGTGCGTGTCTGTGTATAGAGGTGGGGGGGGTGTTGGATGATGCTATTCGGAATTTTGTTGTATCTTTTTTTTGTTTTTGCTGATTTAATCGTAATGACCTACTGGGTAAAATGAAAGTAGACATAGAATGAAATAAATGAATATGGATTGTAGAATTCAAAATAAAAAGATTATACTTATTATGATTATGATTAGTATTGTTATTAAGTTCCTTTATAATTTCTATGCATGACAGATCTTCAGAACACATACATACTTACACCCTTATCCACTTATGTGTATATATATATATATATGTATCCATGTACAAATTGATATGCATGAAAGAATGTTTTAAATATGTGAAAATTCTAAGATTAAGTTTACAAAAGGAACATAATAGAAACGAATTAGAAACACGAGAACATGTTACAATGCTTATAACAGAAAGAAATTGAAGTAGATAAAATTAAACAAAGTAATTTACAAAAATGAAAAACAATTTGTAAACACCCCATGGGGGTTAAAAAAATTCTTTTATTTCATGCATTTTCTCCTTTTTTTGTTACCTTTTCTTCTTCTTCTTCTTCTTCTTCTTCTTCTTCTTCAATGTTCAATTGTTTGATTAACTGTTTCGTGAATTAATTCCAATGAATAAGCCAACAAAAGTTATATTCTAACTTCTTTTCTAATGAAAGATTTACTTTGTATATATGTGTATAGTTAAAAGTGAATATTTATGCTTTAAGTGATGATGTAAATTATACAGGATGGTATAGGAATAAAATGAAAAGATTATTTCTTCTTTCTTTGTGTTCATTTGAAGAGAAGATGTGTGTGTGTGTGTGAGAGAGAGAGGGAGAGAGAGAAGAACCACTGATACATACAGATTTTTCATATAAGTGAAAATATTAATTAGTAAACGGATGAAAACAATCTTCTAATGATGTATAAAGGTATATCAACGAGATGACATTCGTTTGCCCAATGAACTTTACATTGTACATTATATACTATTTTTCTGTCTAGTTGAAATTTGAATTTTGTTATGTTATATTGTTGATATATTTCAATATGACATGTAAGATAGATACTTTGTTACACTTAACATTTGTCGGAATGACAGATTTCATGGGGGAATATTTTATATCAACAGTCGACATTTTTTTTTCTCTTTTAAACTAACTGACAGTCTTTTACGATTACTACTACTATTCGTAGTAGTAGTAGTAGTAGTAGTAGTAGTAGTAGTGGTAGTGGTAGTAGTAGTAGTAGTAGTAGTACCATTAAAATGAACATTTAATGTGCTTAAATGATTCTACATTAAAATTCCAATGTGTATATTCATCGAGTTAAGTGTAACACATTATTCTGAGATTAGTGTTTTGTTGCTTACTAAATGAAGATTATTATTAGTATGCATCATTTGAGTGTGAAATGCTAGGGCATAATTTCAACAACAAAAAGTGATTACTAGTATAGGGGTTGTGGAGATTATTATGTTTTTGATTGAGATCATGAACCGGTTGATGTTAGACCACCACAATTGAAAACTATCACCATTGGACGCCGGTTTAGTGGTGCAGTTGGTTAAGCGTTCGCGCGTGGGACCGAGGGCCCTGGGTTCGAATCCCGCGGGCGGGATAGTGAATGCGCGCCGCTGAGGAGTCGCGTTGGGAAGGGATGGCCGTCTAGTGCCCCCAGGTTTCCCATGGTGTGATCTAGCCTCAATTTTAGCATGATCTATAATTTAGCTTAGGGTTCACAGTATTATCTCACTTATCCCTAAAAGATATTATCAACGAACTTGTTGATGGAAATTTATCAAATTTAACCATTTCACAAATTTTCGTTATTTTTCTTTCTTACCAAAACTAGCTACAGACTGTTTCAAAATCAGATCTTATTATTACTAATTATTATTATTACTATTATTATATAATACTGAATAAGGATCGATATTAGTTGAGTATAGACTATTTAGGTGATCGTCTATTTGATATGAACTAAAATTTAGTGAATTATTCAAGAGCATTAATCAATACGATCAGGATATAGACATAAATCATTTTGTTCTTCTTGAATAATCAAACGGTTTTCCTTATTTTTCTAGTCTACAATTATGAATTATTATTATCCTTACCATTACTATTATCAATGTTTAAACACAAAATATCTTATTTTGAATACTTAATGAGGTAGGAACCTTAAAAGATATTGTTGGATGCTGGCCAGCTCAGTAGTCTAATGGTTAAGCGGTTGTGTGTGAGACTGATAGGTTTTGTGTTCGAATTTCGCGAGGTGGGATCGTGGATGCTCACCTCTGAGGAATCCCACAGTGGGACGAAATAGCCGTCCAGTGCGTCCAGGTTTTTCATGGAGATCTAGCTTTAATTGGCTCATGATCTTAACTATTAAAATTACTATAATATCCATAAAACCCCTTCTGATATTACAAATGATTATTTTCCACTAATAAAGATAATTTGTCTTATTCTTTGTTTATCAGATATTGTTAGTTTAATGAAACATGATATTAGATTCTAGACTTCTTCGTGGTTATCGTGACTCACTACCTTAATAGATATTATACTGGTGTTTAAATCAATATTTTACTTTGTTCGAGTTCAAACTGTAAATACTCACTTCTAACAAATTGTAAATGTTATCTCTTGACGAGAATATTGAATGGTAACAGTTGGGATCCATTCATGGGCTAATACTATACATTTGTTTTTGTTGTATACTTTTTAAGTGACTAGACTATGAATATTCATGTTCCTCTTTTTATACGCTTTATTTTGACTCATAGACTATCATTGTATGATTTATTGTTCTTGAGTTCTACCCAGTCTATTAATTACAGTCTTCTACATTCACAGTCACTTTGGGCTAAATCCTGTGTCAATGTTATTTCCTATTTTATAGTAAGATGTGGTCTGTTTGGTTTGTATATAAACCCAGTATGTTTGAAATAATTAATTCATATTACAGAGGCTGATGTTAGTGTTCTGGACTAGGGCTAGGCGGGAAGCAGGACCGGATAAGGACTCTAGACTGCTCGCACGTGTTTTATGCGTCATTGGTCCAATCGATAATTCATTGTCCTCTAATTGTCGGTATCATTATGTTATATATTAATAGGGCATAATGCCCTAAGCTATTACAGTAAACAAGATATAACTCACGTTCTCAGTTCCATGATTTGTTACTATCAGAAAATGTAATAAGAATTATTCAAAATTAAACTGTAACTATAAAATGTACTTGGAGAAAATTGGATTTCAAGCTGTATTTATTAAGTATTTTTGATGATAAATGTAAGATTTAAGATAATTATTACCGTTTACAGATTGCAATCATGTAATGAGAACACAGAGTTGGTCTATGAGAATATCATATATTTGAACTATATATTTCGAATACTCTGGTCATAAAAATATTTGTCTAGGGATACTTATATGCCAGGCAGGTCAGTTAGAGGGTGGTAAGATCAAGTGCGACAAACTCATGTTTCGAGAGCAAAGTCCTGTTTCTGACTGTAGAGAGGTCTGACAGCAATAGGGTGTTTCTCTAAGACAACCGACCTCTGAAGTTATGCTGCTTTCTCATAACAGAAGGAAAGGATCATCGAAGGTCGACTCTAGAAATGTTGCACCTCACTTTACCTCATGAAATTCTGTGTCTGGTGGCAAGACCTTTTGAAGTGCGAAACTAACACATCAAAAACTTCCCATAAAAAGGCCGTATGCGATCGACCTCAAAAAGTTGTCTCTTAGGCTCTGTGGTAATTTCCTAAGGTCGTTAAGACCACCAACGATTCGTCATTTTTAGGTCTCTCAAGAATAAATATCCATTCATGGTGTGGGTATAGCAACTCTCCTACAATTAATTTCGATTATGGTTAAATTTTGTTAAGCTTTTTTATTAACTTATTTAACAGACAGTGTTATTCGAACAGTAAAAATTCGCATATTTCTTTGTACTTTTATGATCACAGTCATGTTTGTATAAACCTGTACGCTTGCTCATATGACAGCCTGTGTGCATATCTCTCTAGCTTAAACGTTAATCGCTTAAATATCGCTTGATAAGTCATTCTCTTTCCCATGTATATATAAAGTCAAATTCTTTTATTAGTTGTTGCCTTGCCTAGTTGCGCCTTAAACGATCTGACTATAAAATCGCCTCTGTATTCACTCACACACATATATTAGCCTCTTTGCTCCAAATTCGCTCGATGTGTTGATAACTTTGTTATCTGTGCTATTCGCTAATAAACTGTAGTCGCCGTTTCTTGTTGCCTGCTGAATTCGAACAGTGTTGGGATTTATATGCTAATGGTTATCAAGGTGATTGATTAACATGGGCAACTGAGAAGTGACAAACGCCCTCATACCTCTAACAGCACCCGAGATCATCTTGTTGACAATCAAATCCCACCTTCACCTCTTAAGAATTCTTCCGTCCCTACGACTAACTCTTCTCACATATGTCTTTATCGCCACTTGCCACCAATGCTATAATTTGGTTTCACAAAATGTTATTCTTGGTCTATTGAAACTACAGTCTAAACTGCATGTTGAAGCTTTTAACGTTCGAATTTTGTGTCTGATAGGATAACAGATTTATTTAGCTGGGACAATGAGGTCTTGCGTCATCTATGAATACTGCGTCTCCGGAACGCACATAGAGGATCCAAGTACAGTCATTTGTTTGACCTTACATTGTCACTATAAATAATCGGGACGTATTACCCTTTGAGTATCTAGAGACCCTACTGCTACTTCAAGCGGCCTCGCGCCTGTAGGTATGGCAGTAAGTTCAAAAGCACAGCGGGTTCTATTAGAATGGACTCTGATAGACAGTCGTTTGTGAGCTGTCCGACTAAAATGGGACAGTAAGAACTTGAAAAGATAGGGACACATGCCGTTGCCTTTTTGTTGTCTCTGTCTACGCCTTCACTGATTTCAGCTCGGATGAAGTTAAATATGGAGTAGTAGCAGGTGATTCCATGCTCAAGTAGGTAAACTAAACTAAACCGAATGGGACTTAGGTGGACCTTAAAGTGTTGCAGCTCAGCGAACATATAATAGCGAGTGTCTGTCACAACTATGCTCAGATAACCGTCTGTCTCTGGTGAAAACCAACTTCGAACGTAAGGAGAAAAATCATCTGACGTGACGACCTTCATAATGGACCCATAGATGGACTCAAATAGATCACATAGCTATTAACTATCGCTGAGGGAGGGGGGTCCGCTGTAGACTGAGGCTTAATGTGGACAACATATTTAGACTTGAATCATGCTCTAGTTCGAACAAGTATTTGTCTGTGTATTAATGAATGTAGAAAAGCCACAACAAGAAAACTCAATAGAGTTCAACGTAATGATGGAAAAATCAAGGCTATATTTCAGGGACAAACAACCGGGAAAATGATAACAACTCCAAGGTAGCTTGACATGAAATCCAAAGAGCTGTGAATACAGTAGCGATATCTACTAGTAACTAAGATTGAAAAATTAGGAAAAATCAGTGGATTTCAGGGGCGTCCACAGCACTGATAGGTGCTCGTGAACTCGTCCCGTCTTGTTCTAAGGAGCTGAGGAAGCTTCAAAGTATGGTAATAATAAGCTTACGTAATGATCGTTAGTGGTAGTAACAAAATCAGAAGAGATGGAAAAGGTAGCAGCGATAGGTAACAGTAGAAAACCGTTTAGACTTATCAAGGAAACGGTTACTGAAAATCCGTCTGTTAGTGGAACTATCTCGGATAAAGACGAGACGTGTTTACTCTTAACCCAGGAGGTTGAAGTGATGAGCAGAAAACTTAAGGTAACAGTTCAACTGGGCTTCAGAAACACTTCGGAGATCACAATTGATTGATCACTGGGTGGTGATCAATGTCATGCTTGTCTAGTCCTTATTAGTGCAGATCGAGTGCTATCGAACATGTTGCAATGTGGCCACCAGTCTAGGTGACACTCAACTCTGAACTTTATATGAGCGTGTGCGTGTATCTTAACTTACTCATCACATGGTCTAGCTTCAACTGACTCGTGATCTCAACAATTCAAATTACTGAAATCTCCACAAAACCCTCTTCTGACATGTCTGTAGCTAATTTTTGTGTGACTATAAATATTGATTACGCTCGATTAAATCGAGTTAGCTCCCTCGCCTTATCTATTGCGCGTCATTTTGTTTTACTTCGCTTTCCTATCATCGATTGTACAAAATATACGTATTCAGAATCCATTCTCATATTTGAATTGTTTAATTCCGTTATTCACTAATGCGATTTAAGTCAATGATTATATATGAGAATAGTCAGGATGTATATTTCGACAGCAATCATTCAATACTGATCACTTGTCCGCTCTAACTGGAGTCAGATCCCGGGCCACTAAACTCGAATGGTTCT